TTTACTTTAAATTATGTGTATGTATCTCTTTACAGGTATAAGCACATGAGTGTAGGTGCCCTATGGGACTATAGACATCAGCTCTCCCTGAAGCTGGAGCTACAAATGCTTGGGAACCCCTGACATAGATGCAGAAAATGGAAGCTGAGTTTTATGAAGAGCAGTAAACACTCTTAAATGTTGAGCTCTCTTTACACCCCATACCCTTTTGTACCCCCAAGACTTTTACTGGCTAGTAAGATGGCTCAGCAAGTTAAGGTACTTGCTGCCAAGCTTGATGACCTAAACTTTGATTCCTAGAACCCACACAGTAAAATAAGAGAACTGATTCATACAAAATGCCATCTGACCTGTGTCTGACCTGTGTCTATATATACACACATACACACACACAAAATAAATAAGTATAACAAAAATATTTTTAAAGTACCATTTTTAACCATAGTTGTGGGTTTTTGACACTAGAAAGTCAATAGAAACAAGACACTAGACCTTGGGAACACTCTATGTATTATATATTGCACAATATTTATAACTATCCATGCCCCTAGCTAGTCTGGAAGTCCTTCAAAGCAGAAACAGATAATATAGCTATGTATTCAGTTAAACACTTGTAAATCAATGGATTATACCACCAAAAAATTTCAAACTTAAATATAATAAACACTGATATTCTCTTAACTGATATTACATTATCTAATAAAAATTTTGGAAAAAAAACACAAACTTTTTCTTTCTGTACAAAAACATCTTAACAAAATACAACAAAAACACTCATGCCAATTGTCAATCTTCTTTCTACAGTTGATCACATGGCTGGTATTTATAATTATCTCCCTCTACTACCCATTCTGTATTTCTTATACCCTCAGCAAGAACCTTAGCAGATCTTGGCTCTTTTCATGGAGGTGTGACTGATAACTTCATTCCTGACAGATTTGTGCTCATTGTCATACTGCCTGGAGTAGGCTGTTGTAGTTTCCCATTGACTTTAATCACAGAACATAGTAGTACCTAGAGAAGCTCTATAGGATCTCCTATAATCCAGACATAATACTTCTTATCTCCATTATGGAGAAGCAATATAATTTCCCTTTGGTAACCTGAGCCAATCATACCTCCTAACAGTTATTCTTTCCTTAGTGTCATGGCCTCAGGGTATCAGAAGCTGCCCTAAGTGGCCAAGGGAAAGTCAGCTTCCCGTTTGATAGAATGTTTGTAATATCTCTTGATGAGAGCACTCCCTCCTCCAGAACCAAAACTTCTAGGCCAGCAGAACTTAAAGGTCACAGCAATAGGAGGCAAACATTTCCTAGTGGGTACTATTGCCTTTCCCACCCCCTAATTCAGGGACCCATGGATTCTTGCTATGATAGAAACCATACCATATGCTAGATTGCTTATTCAAAGACTTCTGGAGAACCTTGCCCAAGCCCTTCAGGCTGCTGCCACCTAATTGGTGCTATAACTGTGTCCTTAAAAGCTGATTCCATCTTTCTATCAGACCAGCTGCTTCAGGATGATGGGGAACAAAGTTAAGACCAATGGAGTCTATGACTATGAGTCCACTGCTGCACTTCTCTGGCTGCAAAATAAGTTCTTTGCTCAGAAGCAATACTGTTTGGAATACCATGACAGTGAATAAGGCATTCTGTAAGTCCACAATTGAGGTGGTTTTGGCAGACATATTATGTTCAGGAAAGGCAAATTTATAACCAGAACAAGTACTACTCCAGAAAGGACAAAGTGATGTCCTTTCTAGGGAGGAAGTAGTTCAATGTAGTTAATCTGCCACCAGGTTGTTAGCTGGTCACCCCAGGAAATGGTGCCATATCTGGGGTTCAGTGGTGGTCTCTGCTGTTGGGAGATCAGGCACTCAGCAGCAGCCTTGGTAAGTGGTAGTCCATATTGTCAAGCCAACATATAACCTTCATCTCTGCCACCATGGCCATTTTATTCATGAGCCCATTAGGCAATGACAGGAATGGATGGGCAAAGAGGCTGACTATCCACAGAATGAAGCATCCTATACTTGATTGCTGAACTCCTTCTCAGCTGATGCTTTTGATGAACATTTACATAAGACACAAGTATCTTAACATCCTTTGCCCATTTGGAGAGATCTATTGACATACTTCTTCCACAGATATCCTTCTCATCAATTTTCTAATCATGTTCTTTACAAATCCCTAACTACTTAAAGGAAGTGGTCCAGCTAAGCCCAACAATGGCTGTCTACCAAGAGAAGGTCTAAGAATCCAGTAGTTGTTCAGTCTACAAGGATGGATGTTTTAGCTGGTCTTTAGTATGTTGCAGAATCCGGAAGAAATAGGTGACTCTAATGCAAGTAAAGGAATGGACTTGAGCAAGCAGACAAAAAGAGAGCTTCCTTCTGTGTCCTTTATCTAGGCTTCCAGCAGAAGGTATGGTCCAGATTTAAAGTGTGTCTTCCCACCTCTGATATCCAGAATAGAATTGGAACACCACTTCAAATGACTTAATTAAGAAAAACTCTCTTACAGCCATTCAGCCCAGCCATTCAGGTTATAGTTAATTTCAGATGTAGTCAAGTTGACAACCAAAAATAGCCATCACACCTAGATTCTCTCAAACACAAAATCCTATGGACATATAAAATTGAACACCAGAATCAAAGACACATACACTTATTTATATACTTACTTGTTTATTTTTGGTGGTGGTGTAGGGGATCAAACATGGGGCTTAGGCATTTAGGCATGCCCTACACCACTAAGTCATACTCTTGGAATATTAAATTCACAGTTCTAAATAAATGGTTTTCCATTCTTAGAAATTTGTAAGATGAATATGATAATGGCAGTGAGTGCTGCACATGTGCACATGCACACACACACATACACATGCACACGTGCAAACACACACACACAGACACCAATTTGAGAAGAAAAAACAAAAGTCCTCAAATCTTAGGAACAAACTTTTCCTTTTGTTTTGTTTTGATACAAGGTCTTATTTTGTAGCCTTAGCTAGCGTAGAGCTCAATAAGTATACCAGGCTGGTTTCAAACTCCCAGATCCATTTGCCTCTCCAGGGATCAACGACAACCACCCTAGAGTAATCATTTCTAACAAACTCAGGAACCTAGAGGAATAAATGCTCACTCCTCCAAATGCACAATGTAAATATGCAGTATCTTAACCATGGCTGAAATACAACAGCCAGAAATGGAAGAGAAAAATGTCCTCTAAATAAAAATATAAAATAAAAAAAATAAATACATAAAAAGAGTTACACCCCATGTTAGCATACAGGTGATTCCACTGGCCTGCCTACAGGGACCTAGCAATTGCTTATGTTATCACCTGCCACTCCCAGGTGCAAGAGGTATGTGCTAGACCTGCCCAACACTCAGCAGACTGAGATATTCTGTCTCTGTCTCTCTCTCTCTCTCTCTCTCTCTCTCTCTCTCTCTCTCTCTCTCTCTCTCTCTCTCTCTCTCTCTCTCTCCTCCCCCCTAATGTTCCTTCTGTTGTCTGCAGGTGCCCCCCACCTTCTCTCCAGGTCCCCTCTCTCTGCCATCATGGCTCTGCTCCCCTCTGTCTGACTGTCTACATGTCCACTTGTCTGCTTCTATCACTTTCCTCAGCCCTCACTGTTCTCCCTTTCCCCAGTAAATGTCTTTCACATCAGGTCTGTTGCATAGCATAATTACACAGGGGCACACCTTGGCATGGGCCTGCCAAAGGTACCCCTAACCCCTCCCCACATTAAATCTCATAACATCCAGTCAGAAGTAAATAACCTATACCATCCAAGTGTAGCTCCTGGATAAGTAGTAAACACTGGCTACTCACAAACAGCTATGCACTATCCTTGCCTCAAAGCAGCCAGCCCCACCCATCTTGAGGAACCAACCAGAAGTGCTAAGAAGCTGACTTCACTAGCTAGGAAGAAAAACACTGAGATCTGTATAGAGAAATGTAGAGCTGTGGTCCAGGCTGACAAGAACAAAGAAACCTCATAAATTGGGCTCTTTTGTCCTAGTTTGGTGTGTGGCTTTGGGGAGTGTGTTATGTTGGGAGGGTCCTTTACTCAGTGAGAAGGTGAACAAAGTACAGACTATTACAGCAGAGAAACATTCCTTCTAGAATCCACAGAGAGACTGGCCTTTTACCTCTGGCTGGGCCCAAGCATGGGGCCAGGGTTTTGTCATGGACGCCTCTCTGCTGCCCACACTGGCTGTTCCACAACAGAGAGAGACAAGAGGCAGGCCTTGCAACACCTACTTAAAAGAGGCAGATGGAGAGGAGAGGAGAGTGTGTGGGATGCCTTTACCTCCCCCTCAGGAGGCGCCCAGCAGGAGCCCACAGAGCCAGCAGCTCCAAAATCGGATTTCCACACATCTTCCCACCCCAGAATGCCTTACCCCTCTGGCAAGAGGAAACAGAGCATTAAAGCAAGTGTGGCTCTGGTGCGCAAGGGGATTTCAGAAGGCCTGAAGATGTCTTCTCACACTTCTGCACTTTTCTGGAACTTTTCTGGCTACAGAGGTAGCCAGGTTGGGAAGTTATTCAGACACTGACCCAATGAGGGCAAGTGTGCTACTTCAAGGAGCACACAATCAGTGTCTGCAGGCTGTCCTGAGCTAGACACATACTTTATTAATAATCTTACATACACAAAATGTCCACAGGGAAGCCTAACAGACTAATTTCTGACAGCTCCAGATAACAGCAGGAGGGACTGAAACTCTGACAACTCTCCAGTTTCTGCACACCACTAAGGAGCAATGGGCCCTTCCCACCCAAGGGATGTGATGCAAATAAATAAATACAATTATCTGCAGGGCTTCAAGTGCAAGTGCAACACCACAAAGTCCTTCTCCCCAAGTACAGTGACTTGTGGGGAACAGATAGGACACTAAAACAACAGCTGGAAAACTTAATTACAGAAGGACTATGCAAAAGCTGACAACTGTTTCAAAGAACCAGCCAATGGCTGAGGCCCTTCTCCCTTACCTTAAGATACAGAAGCAGCTCTTGGCTCCTGAAGATAAGCGGCAGAACCCGAATCTCTGTTTGCTGTCAATGTCAGTAAGCACAAATGTGAAGTTCTGGCCAACTTGGCTAACTGTGAGGCTGTAGAGAAGACAGAACAAAGGGAGAGATGAATGTGTGCTAAGTTTCCAGATAAAGTATCTAATCACCACAAGTCATTGAACTTGTTACATTTTCTTTATGGAACTTTGCAAATGAGCTAAAAATTTACACACTTCAAGAAAACAGACAAGAAAGTGGAGGGAAAGGAAAGGGAGGGAGGAAGAAAGGACAGAAGAGGGTGAAGGAGGAAACGGAGAGAGGAAAGGAAAGGGAAGAAAATAAGAAGAGGAAAGGAGCCTGCTCTGTCCTCCAAATATCAAAATCATCAATACTCTCCAATGTGCCTGACTGAATTCAGGCCCTGGGTCCCTGGGTGAATCAGCCATCAAAGTTAAAAAAGGTGCTCTATCTACCTCATTTATAGAGGACGAGAGCTGGGACAAGAGCTGCCTAAGGCACAACTTGGTGAGTGGCAAAACGCTGTTTTTTAAGCCTTGCTGTGACTCCAATGGCCACAGCACCAGCTCATTACCACCAGAGACGTTCGTGTCTACTAAGCACCGGCTCCAGTCAGATATTTAATGTATCATTTCATCTATCCTCGTGATGAATTTGGAATTTCGGTAATGTCCCCATTGTTTCAAAAAAGAACACTCAAGAGTAGCTAGGGAACTGAGTCAGTTTCAGTGAGTTCTAGGAAAAGCCATCATAAACACTGGAAAGGAAAGGGGACAAGGCTATGTCTTGTTCTCCTGAATCTTTGACATTTTCTGAACTTTGAGGAACATATTATCTTAGAGGGCAGGAGTACCAAAATGTTAAGCAAGTTAAAACATTAAAGCAATGTTTCAAGCCATTAAAAAGCCAAAAATTTTGATATAAAGAAGTATCAGTATAAAATAAGCCAACTACACACATAAAGGCAATGTAAAACATCTAGTAAATAATTTAAAAGAATACTAAAAACCAGAATAATCGAAAACTCTTTTAGGTTATAAATGCTTCAAAATACACATTTTTTAAATCCATTTACCAGTTATCCAGTATCTCACTTTCTAATGAAATGTAAAACATTTATTCCAAACTCTAATATATAAGTTTACACTAATATTTTAGAATTTGGCAGTGAATTAAACCATAGAATTCAGAAACTTGTACGGATCACACATATACTATATTTTATAAAGTATACTCAAGTTGATAAGACAGTGACTTTGCTAAAATATTCAAACTGATGCCAACGTGCCAATTGTCAGTAGAAATGAAAAATCATTTCTTAACAGGCCTTTTCCAAAGACAGGACTATGTTATCTTTGGGTGGGCTATGAATTAAAATTTTAAATATTGAATAAACTTTGTTTCTAAAAATCCCTTATACAAGTCACAAAAGAATAGTAAAATTAAAGAGATTTTCAAGGTATCCTGGCACAAAGATCAAGGGCCTTGCCTAGTTATATTTAAGGAAACAATTCTATCCCTTAGAGAGTGCTTCAAGCACAGGAAAATGGCTCCGAAAGACAAGGAAGTGTTCCACTCTCCTTACTTAACTAGGGAGGTGAACAAAACAAGGTGACAATTTCAAAGCCATGTGGCAATAAAGCAGGTGTAAGTAATGCTATCCCCCACCTTACAGCTAGGGAAAGGAACACATTTCCATAAAAGTTATAGAGCTGTCAGGGGGACACCAAATGCTACCTTCTTATGGCTGTTATGTTTTATCTATAAAGCTTGGAAACTGTGTTACTATGGTGATTTAATACTATGTTTTAAAGGGGGATTATATGATTAATTTTAACAAGGTTGAGAAGTGAAGATGTGTGAGAAACAAGATTCTAGCTCACATAATTAAAGTGATCCAGGAGGAAAGTGGGCCTCAGTGGGGGAGGGGAAGCCTGTTTTTATTAAAATACTTAATGCAACAGGTTTAGAAAAGTCCAAGATATAAATAAGGTCACATTTTTGTGAACTGTTACTTTGTGATCCTACCAAATGTGATTCATTATTTTGTTTTTGGGGTTTGATTTTATTCCTAGAATGTGCAAAATAAAAACTAGAAATGAAGGGTATTGATAGAACTGAAAAACAAAACAAAAACAGATCTCTAAGAAAAGGATCCAGTATGAAAATGATTTGACCTGCAAATTGGCTGCCATTAATTTCCTATGCTGCCATTAAAAAATGGTTTTAAAAAAAGTATGCATAACTACACTATAAGATCAAAGAAAGATGCATTGCTTATTGGCTTGATACAAAGCCCAGCCCAGCTATCTCTACCTGGGCCTTAACTTAGCTTAAAACTTCCTTAAAAACAGCTTTCAGCACCTCAGTTTCTTCACATGGAATAATCATGAGAAGCTAGCAGTCGACCCAAAGTATGTTTTAGGAATCATTGGGATAATCATTTATTTTAAAAGGCCAGTCCTTAGTAGGAATTATTAATAAGAGGGAGGAGGCAAGCTGCTACTAACTTATTGAAGATAAAATTCACAGGAAGGTCATGATTTACAGAGACTCCCTGACCATTTCAGCTTTTTAACACCTGAGCAGTCCACTAAGGGACCAAATGATTCAAGTTTGCATTAAAATGAATGATTCTTTTGGGGATGTTTCAACTTAGGAGACACTATTCTCAATCAAGTCATCTTTCTAATTCCTAGAAGAGTTGAAGTACAGGTCATCAAAAACACAAAAGCAGTAGACTCAATTTTTTTTCTCTCCCCCTTGGACAACATCCAATAAACTAAGTCTGTCAGGGGCAGTCAATGAGAGGTTAACTTGAAGGGTTCTGAATCTCCAGGGAATATATCACTCGCTCCACTAGCTGCGGTGGTCTATGGAAGTATTCACTATTTTTCATAAAAAATGACTAGGGGGTCTGCTTCCTCAAAAGCTGCAGTTCATTTCCTTTTAATATTAGCATCTGTAATTTCTATAAGAATCAGAGATTTCACAATGATTAAAGCAAAAGGAACCATAGGAACCATTGATCCAATTTTCTTATTTTATGGGTGGGAAAACTGAGGCTTAGGGTTTTGTTTTGGTTTTCAAAATAATTAGGACTAGGGCAAATATCCAAGCCAACTTGTGGTTCAATGTCCTTTCCATCCTGCCATGCTGCTCTAAACACAAGGACAGCCCTCCCCTACATGTCTCAGCTCAGGTTAAGGAACTAAATTATGACAAGAATGCAGAGTTGTCTTGGCAAATGGACTGTGCTTCTCATTAAGCTCCAGAAAGCACATTTGAGCACCAGCTGACCAGGACTGGGATCACCCTGAGATACTCCTCCCACACTTAGATGAATGTACAAAACAAGGGAACAGATCAAGAATGAAGCCCAGACTTTAACCTTCATGCTACCCTGTAAATGCTCATCAGCTGTTCAAGGTCCTTCTCACCCTATTTTGTTTAATACTGGAGTTGCAAGAACAGCACAAAGTATATGGAGACAAAATCTGAGTCCAGTCCTTCAGTGAGAGATGAGACTTTACATGTCAGACTCACTTTAAGCTTACCCATCTTCCATACTGAACTACAACTACACAGAGTGATATAACATGTCCTGGAAATATGTGCTAAACAACAAAAACAGGAACCTTACAACTCACATGGCTGACTAACCCTATCCCTAACCCTATCTAACTGGACAACAGCTTCTCAGAGATGTCAACATTGACTCAAAGAATGAGATGGGATGGCCATACCAGGCTCAAGAAACTGTATATTTCCAGCAAAGGAAAAAGCTAAGAAAGATCTTTGCAGTTGAAAGGAACTGGGCACATGTAGGAAAGAAAAGCATATGAGGGGCAACCTAAAGCACAAGAGATGAATAGCAGCATCACATGAGTTGCTACATAAAGTGAGCACCAGGCCATGCAGAATACCTCATACACAAGTCATATTAAGATAGTACCTCTTTTGGGTGGATGTGGATAGGGTGTGTGTTTGGAGTAATAAAAGGCCACTCAATAGTTCTAATCAAAAGAAAACATTAATCTCAAACTTCTAAAACAATGTCAAATACAGAGTTGAACACACTAGTTAGGAAAGCCACAGAAATGTTTGAGTTGGAGGCAAATATTCAGAAGTCATCTGAGAACAGGTGATACTGAACATTACAAAAATGATGAGGTCACCTTAGGAAAAGAACTCAGAGAGGCAGAAGATTGTCTAGGACTCATTTACAGAAATACCAGTTGAGACAATAGATGAAAAAGGGACCGTGAAAGGAAAAAGAGACAACCACCAGGCAGAACAAACAGGAAGGAAGGTCACCTGTCCTGATGCATCAAGATGAGAAGGGAAAATGTCTATTTCTGTGAGTGGTAAGAAGGCCTTGGATGGCCTTTGATAAGAAGTTGTAGCTGAAAGACAAAAGCAAGAGAGGCCGAATGGGACTGAGGAACAAGTTAGCAGTTATAGAGGACTCTTGCAAGCACTACAGAACCAGACAGTAATTGGGTGGGGAGAGTCAGAGGCCCGTACTGCTTTTAGGACGGAGACGTACCAAAAGTTGATTTTAAGCCACTGAGAATGACACAAGAGAGAGAAGACAAAATAGTGAGAGCTGTGTTTTGTATAAGAAGCTTTGGTCTTCTATGCACAAGCTGTGTAAGAACAGACGAGTTACTGTATATCTCTGATCTCTTCTGTAAAATCAACCATCACACTGCAAAGTGATTTTAAGGTTTATAAATCAAGAATATAAAGTAACTAGCACATAGTACACAATGAAAATAACCAAGACTAGTATAATTATAAAATGTAAGGCCCAAAGTAAAACACTGTCACCCTTGCCCACTGTGGCTTACTAATAATCACCTGAATAACTGTCTACTGCCAAATTATCCTGTCCTTGAGTTTGTAGACTGCTGAGCGGCACCCAACGTTTATCAAATTCTATCTCCTATCCTGACGTTTCATGAACCACAAAGCTTTCATATATACATATACATATACATATACATATACATATACATATACATATACATATACATATACAACATTTGATAGAATCTCAAGCTTCTTATCATCCCTGCTCAGAAAACCAAGTGTTGAGATTGGCAGGCTCCCAAGAATTCTGGACAGGAGCAATAAGTTTGCTAATAAGATTAAGGAGCTAATAAGATTGCTAGAAAGAATCAAGAAAACCACCAGACATTTCTAAGAAAAAAAAAAAACAAAGATCTGTCCTGACCTTGTCTACCGAAGCCTGACAAATTAAATTATCAATAACCTCAGCATCAAAACTAGAGGAACTATAGAGAACGTCCTAGTCACAGGACAGAAGTCATTGGCCTCCCTCCTGGACATGGCAAGTCAAGGGGAACATCCCAAAGGCACCCCACATCCTGTCACCAAGGCCAATTGCCATGCTACTCACGAATGCTGTGGAACTGACCATGAGCCACAGCTGAATCCACCATTTACACTAAACTAAAGGATCCAAGTCCAGCAGAACAAATGAAGCAGAAACAGAAGTACGGGAAGACCTACTCTAATGCACAAACCAAGACAACACTGTACCTATGTGGGAGCTATTTCTTCAGTTATCTAAATTTTCTACTTTTCTACAGTAACTATATATTGTTTTCAAAATAAATTACTTATGCTGTGTTAGCTAATGGTAGTAGTATGGTAAAGCAAAAAAAAAAAAAAAGTAGAATTAGAGGTAGCAGCAAAATGAGGTAACTTGAAAAACAGTAACCTCTACACACTAAAGGCAGAACCTTGAGCACAGCACATATGTGAACCTAGCTGGGTCTTTGCTGCCCATATGCAGAACACCAAGTATGGTAACAATTCAAATAGCTTATGTTTAGCATAAGAAAAGAACACTATACAGTGTGCCCAGTAGATAACAGATACCAGCTCAAGTGCAAAGTAATATCTGAGCCCCTTTGCATTTGTGGCTGCACCCAAAACCACAAAATGGTTTCATTTCATTTTGTCACCTGTCATTGGTGAATATAGAATAGAGGCGTGCCTCTCACATACTTCATCACTAACAGTGAATCCTTCTTGAGACAATGCAAGAACTCAGTGGTTACTTTACTCCTTCTGCCACCAAGGGCTTCAAGACAGTAGTGGGTAGAAAGAAGCATGAACAGGAATAAGTTCCTTCCCTAGCACTGTGACTATAGTTATGATGATAAGTAAGACCTCTTTCTTTTGTGGATCTTGACCTCTCTCCTGTAAAATGGGATGTCCGAGGCAGATGCTGCACTCTCAGACCCTGAAGGCACATTCTTAGAGCCTCCTGTGCCCAGTCTCTCACAGTACATGGCAGCCTCCTTAGCAGGCTCCATCTGCTCTAGCTGAACATCTCCAGGCTCACTCAGGGTTTTCTCTTCTGCTTTGCTCTGTGGTGCATATGGGGTGTTAGGCTCACTTTTCTCCATACCTACTTCTTACTGGCCTGGCAGACTCAATACAAGTCTTATCCACCACAAGTTCTCTCTGAGCATGTTAGTCTTCTGTTACCACCCCATGTTTAAAATGTCTTTACAGAATGTCTTGAATTAAACTGGGAAATACATAGAGAAAAGAGCTTCAAATCTGAGACCATTTCTATATTCTGCATCTACCTCAACACAATGGGACCTGTCCTGAATAAACATTTGCTTACACAACAGATGATAATCTGGCCACTGCTAAAAGAGTAAGGGAATAAGTAACCAGCCAGGGTAGCAAGCACTTGACTAAAATCAGTTAGGTACTCAAAGCTAATTTTTCTTATTTTCCTCCATCCTATGATTTCTCTATTTTTGGTGAATATTCTCTACAAGGTAGTCTAGTGGGGGATGAAACTTAGGACAGGCTATAAGCCTAACAGGACCTTGGGTGAGTCATAATCCCTCCATGCTCAGACAATTTCAAATGAAGAACATATTCTTACTCTTCTCTCTCTTACAGCCAGATGATAAAATGAGATAATACATGAGAAAGGCTCTCCTCTGCAGAGCTACTAGTGTTATTATTTTTGATAAGTCCTAGTTTCAGAAAGAACAACCTTAAAGCAGCACCAGAGATGGCAAGACATCAGGGCTGACAGATTTGATGACAACTGTGCAAGTCCCACTCTTGATACAGAATAGAGTGTCAGAAGGTTGCATGGCTATTCCCTAAGGTAGAGCCATTACCCAGGCACTGCTCATCACATCGCCCATGCTGGTCTATTTGCTAAGTCAATCAGTTCCATAGACCTGAGCACTCTTGTGGGCCTCAGAATTTGGCTTCATTTATTTGACACTGCTAACAGCTAGTTAAAAAAAAATCCAGACATTAAAACCTCTGTATTTCTCATAAATGAGTTTAACTGTGATGATCTCTTCTATATTGAAGTATGTCCACCTAAAAGGTACAAAAGAAGAGAATATACAGTCTCCCAAATGAAGTGGGATCTTCTTTATTTTGTTTGTTTGGGGCATCTGTAGAACTTAATTTAAGGAATATAATACAATGTGAAGACAAACTATTGCATACCAAATATCAAAATATATCCCTAAATAATGTTGCAAAAGAAAAACATAAAGAGTATCACTGGTATGAGTGATTTGCACAGATGTGATTTATAAGAAAAATAGTTTTCCAATAACAATAAAGAAACCTCCAATGTTACAGATAACAAAAAGGGGGGGGTGCTTCAGAATTACCCCTGAAGGGGTGCTACATTTCTTCAATTTCAGAACAAAATCACCCAGATGATCAAAGTAATCAGGATGGTGTGTAGTGTAAATGAGAAGTGTATATTTATATATACACATGTGTGTACATACTGCATTATGGTGGTGGGAAGTGACTTCTAATATTAGTTTACAAAGTTAATTAGTTTCAAAGTCAATTAAAGAACACTCACTCAAGAAGACCACCACTCTAACAAGCAGTCCTACCGAAATGCCTTCTTATATATGTTGTTAAATGTCTAGCCATATTTAGCTTTATTACTTTGTATAACTGTGGTTTTTCATAATTTGTAACAGAGTTCTTAGGTGGCTAGAAATGTTATACATTGCTGATTCACACATAAATACAAAATCTGTATTGAACATCTCTCAACAATACCCTACAGGACTTTCTATTTTTTTAATTGAAGCAATAGGATACAGAGGAAGGAAGAGACAGACACTCATTACAAGACAGACCGTCTAAAATCAAGGCTATTCTGTTCTGAGTAGAGACCTGCTACTAAAACATCCTGGTGCCTGGTTTTAAAAGCTCTGAGTCTGAAAGCACTGTAATGGCTGATTGGCTTAAAAACAACACGTGAGGAGCAGGAAGCACACTGATGCCGAGTGGCTGGCAGCATTCCAGAGCTGCTTTTAGGACTCAAACTCCTTTGGCTACTAAGTCTCATCCCACAGCACTCTTAGGCTTCATTTATGCCAAATGAACCAGGATACTGGTATTACAGCATATAGAAATGAACTCAGTAGCACACTATCCACATGCCCTCTAAACTACTCAAATCCGTTAGAGCATGCCTTATTTGTGGCAGCTAAACATACACGATAGAATCTTCCTAAAGAAGGCTTATGTGTTATACAGCTTTCTTGGAATATGTTATGAAATTTATTAGTCATAATTTATGAATTTTCTACAAGCTCAATAACTCTAAAAGTGGGACGAAGGGGGAAAAAAACATATGTACATACAGTCTCAGTTTAATTTCCCAAGAAAACCATAGAGAGACAAAAAGGAAGTAGACAAATGAATGATCTCAAAAATAATGCTTCACTGGAATGGAGACCACAGCAAACAGTTCTTAAAAATAAAATAAAGCCGGGCGGTGGTGGCGCACGCCTTTAATCTCAGCACTTGGGAGGCAGAGGCAGGCGGATTTCTGAGTTCGAGGCTAGCCTGGTCTACAGAGTGAGTTCCAGGACAGCCAGGACTACACAGAGAAACCCTGTCTCGAAAAACCAAAATAAAATAAAATAGAATATAAAATAAAATAAAATAAAGATCACCACCTTGCCATTAAGGTTACAATTAAAGAAAGTTACATGAAGTTTTTGAAAAATTGTTGCCATCGTGCAATGGATTATTTACAAACAAAACAAAACAAGCCTCATAGCACTTCAGTTATCCCAGAGTTCATACAGTTGTACCTTTCCCCATAAATCACTTCTTGTGCTATGAAGACTAAGGACTGTTCAGGAGCTTGTGTATGTTTTAGTAGTAATGCCTATAGAAAATGCCAATTCCCCAGAGACAGTATCTTCAGTCACCTAAACCAAATGTAAAACACTATCTAGCAACATATCTTTTAAGTAGTAAAATGCTTCTAAACAAGATAGGTCCACATCTATTTAAATTTAGAGTTGAAACCAAGGGTTAACAAACCATAAAGCCAGATAGTCATATATTATTTGTTTAAGCCAAATATATTAATCTTCAAATGCAAATTCAACAGTATTAAATTAAATACCAACCATTCTTAATCATGGTTTAAGTCTGATAACCAAAATCAAAAATTTAGTGCCACACAAAATACATCTCACAAACTGTGCAACATATAACTCTAAGCTTTAAACTTTTTGATAGTGTTAATAAAATTCCCAGGAAAGGAGAACACTGCAATTCTCCTTGGAGCAGAGGTGTGTTAAATCATGGTTAAACAGACAGAATGTTAAGAATGGCATGGCTTTTATTTTCTATAGCAGGTTTATTACTACTCCTTTTTTTTTTTTAACTAATAAAGTTTAAAAATCTGACACTACCTGTCCACATAGAAGGGAAAACAAAACTTGGTCAAAGTCTGTAGAACTTCCTGTGGAAAGAAAGAGAGATAATTTAAACATCTATTGGGACCAATAAATCTAACATTAATCACAGAACACCATCTAGCAACTTTACCCTAAAGAAAGAGGAGACAGATGAAGAAATATGTGCTTTATCAATTACACGGAAGGAGTACAAGGCAGTCAATCATGAGAAATAATAAACATGATCAAACTTCATTAAAAATGAAAAATTAATCAAGAATCACACATGGGCAAGCAGCAGGAGCCATGCAGAAAAGCTCCGAGGGGAGGGAGGTGCTTGGGTTGCCTGTGTTAACACTCCTCCAGGGACCATCTCCAGCCTGACCATATGGATCAGAGTGAATAACACTGAGCCACATGGGTTTGGCCTGGCAGGGCCGCTATTGCTGGCACTGTTTTTTCCTGTTACCTAGGAACAGAGGGGGCCAGGATTAGACAGGGCTTCCTAGCATCAATAGGCCAAATTATAACAGAATAAAAAGGCAACTTGAAGATAACTGTTCCTGGAAATTCTTAACTTCATTCTTAGAGTTTAAAACTTCATTTGGCTGCTTTATGAAGAAGTTGTCATACAGTAATTTTGGAATCAAACTATGACCACTGTTTTTAGTTAAACATCATTATCTTAATTAGTCATACTTACCTGTTTGAAACGTATAAATATGTTTTTACAAATGCCAAGACACATCAATGCAAACACACTATTCAGGAGAAGGGCACAAGAAGTAACAGTATCTCAAAAACTTATTTATAAAAGACAGTGTTCTTACATTAAGATGAGAACATTGGAACATGAAACACAATATGGGTGGGGAACTTTTCCTAATAGACACATTTTACATACACATACACAAGCAAAGATAGCCATATATACAAGTAATTAACTATATTACTCTCTTCATAGAATTTTCTATAGCTTGACTTAATTTGACCACAGGCTTGAACAGCCTACAGTTGGTGCTTAACATAAGGTCACTGCCCAAAGCTATAAATTTTTAAGAAGTATTCCTTTCATGAATTTGATTTTGCTTTTAACTATTTAAAATCCCAACCTCAAGACAAAATGAAAAACACTTTTTTTGAGGGGGGGGGGTCATTGGGAAACTAGTTCAAATTAAAACAAACCTGCCTGTTGCAAATACCAATCCAAGTGATAAATTAAAGATCAGTTTACAAATGTAGCACTTTTCTAACCAATAATAATGAATTATCAATGCTAACTGAATTGATGCTTCATGCTTCATTTATTTTTAAAACCAGTTCTATCATTCAAGAAATAAACCACATCAATCTAATATCCCACTCAGTGAAGCAGAAATCACATTGTCTTGCTCTGCCAGTGTGTGTTCTGCCAACACAATTCAACTGTGCATATCCTAGTTTTAATATCTTCTTGGATTGGGTCTACATATATCACAGCACTGTTAAGGCATGCCATAAAACAGTAATGATTGAAAAAGTAGCTAAGAATATAAGCATATTTTGAGAGGAATTACCTATCAACTGGACATTCTTGGTGGCATTCAGCAGTCTACCTACTGTGGTTTTAAACCAGTAGTGTGTAGCTAAACTAGAGCATTATATAAGGATCAGCTTTTCTGTACATATTATTATCAGTCAGATACTGGAAAAGAGACTGTATAAAACACTCATTTTAATGGAATTATAAAAATATATTATCCACATACGAAACTCCCATGACATCATGATAACACCAAAAAGCTTATCTCAACTTAATACACATTCTTTAAAAATACCATGTGTTCATTCATTGCCAACATAAGCAGCTACGAAGACAGCCATCTTTTATTCCTCAAAAGTTTCAGGTACAGAAAGCACTTCTCTACTCTTATGCTGGAGTTGCACTGGCAAAAGGCCTCAAAAGATTTTTGAAAGAAAGGACCCCTATGGCTACAATAAAGCATTGTGTTCTACAGCAGAGTCAAAGGAATCGAATATGCCCAACTTATTACTCACTACAATATAGAAACTACTTGCCATTACTGGTCATTACTTATGTCAAAATTAATGATTAACCATGAATTTGACTGTCAAATAATATTAGAACAAATATGGAAATGACCAGTATAGGCTGAGTATAACCCACCTCCCACAAACTCTCCTTTCTATACAACAAAGTAGTAGGGTAGGAGAGATGAGGGAAGAAGGTATGTAGGAAAATGCAGGCTCCTGTTTGCATATTACCGTATGTTTCTTCATGTTTATGATGCCACAAGAGCTTGATATTTCAATTTAAGTCAAACAAGATGGTAGTGTGCTGTCAGAGGGGCAAAATGAGCATCTATCTGGTAATAAGCATAATCACATGATTTCAATTAGAACTAAAATATCTACTTTTGAGTTTGGGGAGAGAAAGACAAGAGAGGGAAACAACCAATGTTCTTTGTAAATAAAAGCTGCCAAAATAAACCAATTTCCGCATACTGATGCTTGCATTATATATATAAATATTCAGTTATCTTATCCTCTTTGTCCAAAGAAAAACATAATTATTCAGATATGGAAAGACTACTCTCCAAGGGAGGGGGGAATAAAACCCTGATTTAAATATTTTTTGAGCCTTCTAGTTATTGCAGGGTATCCCAGAATTTTTCAACACTAATTTTACTGGGGAAACAATCATCATCCAGTTACCAACCCCATTTTCTCTCAACAACTAAGTCTGGCTAGGGAACTTGGTTTGTAGAGGTTAATTTCGCTGTTTTTCTCCCCCACACAAGCTCTTTCAGCCAGCCAGCCTGCCTCAGCTCAGCTCAGCCTCCACTTCTATAACATAAAGGGGATCTAGGAAATGCAGAGCAGCTGATGAAATGTAAACGACCTCATTGCAAAGGCAAGGATGGGGGGCGGGGGGGGGGGAAGACTGTGTGCCAGATCTCCAGATCAATTCCCAAGTTTATATTTTCACAAATTTTTTTTATATACAGTATGATTTTTTTAACATTTTAATGAGCAAAACTAAATAAATAATAAAAGTGAATCTATAGTAGCCAGTCACCACAGTTAAAGTGCAGGGCATGAACTAGTTCCCAGGAGGGAACCAGTACACCATGTCACCACTGGCTTTAGGACATTCGCCACCTGGTTCCATGTCCCCAGGTTCCAACTCTTTTCATAATCAAAACACTGCTGACATTATAAACCCCAGATGGGTTTTCTAAAATCCCTCCCAATCAATATATCCAACACATAACTTATTGGAGACAACACTGAGCTCATTGATTAAGGTGAGTTCAGTAGCAAAGTTTTCAAAATAAATGAGACAAGAAAATAGCAGTCAACCTCTTTGTGTCACCAGACAATTTATGAAATAGGCAATTTCCAAAATACTTTTCTTTCTAACAAAATATATGATTTTTCATGTGGGAAGAAACAGAAGTGGGGAGGGGAGCAGTCACACAACCATTTCAGTTATGCATATATTAAACTGCTGGCTGTATGGGAGCAGGAAAGCAACATCCACAAAGCTCTGTCCACCAGGAGATCAAGCCAACACAGCCAAGGTAGGATGAAACAACAGAAATCAGACATGAACTCAGGGCTAACCTTGGTCCACTCTGGGTTCATTTACCTAATGGAAAGTCTCACCTCAGGTCAGAAAGCCCATCAAGGGAATTTTCCTCATTGTGGAGAAAGAGGGGTATGTTCCAACACTGAGATATTCTCTTAAGAACTAAGTCAAGTTTTATATTTATAATATCTATTATAGAGAGTCCTATGTGGGAGTAAAGCTTTGAAGACTAAATTCAATGATTTTATCTGAAACTGTTAATCACGAAAAGGTTTGACCATGTCTCTCTAAATGTGGGCTTTGAAGGGATGTAGGCAATCCTGTAACAGACATCCTTTCCTAAGCCAAATACTTTGTTTTCATCTTCAATAAAACCTATAAACAAAAATAACTTCTATTTGGCAGATGAAAACAGCAGTCAGACATAGACATACATACCCCACAAGTAAGTGCCCTCTGAAGGACAAATGTGCCAGCTGACCTTACAGTGTCTCCTGGAAGTAAGAAACACTGAGATAGATGAGGCACAGCTTCCATAATTAGAGGAGGGAGGGGGAAAGATGTGCAAGAAAACATCTAAGAAGTACTGTGAATAAATGAATGTATTTTAAAATATGTAAAACTACAATTAGCCTTTCAGTGCATCCTAAAAGCTTACAGAGCAGCTGATAATTTACCTTAGGGGGAGGGGGGATAAAAAGGAGGGCAGCCAGTGGGAGAACATTTCCTCAATTTTTTTATATTTTATTTATTTGTTAATTTCAAAATTATAGGTACGTGAGAAAAAAAGAAGCTCAGATTCCTACCATACTGTGTTCAGATTGTTTTTTAGAAGTGTGAGGGAAAGCTGACCCTCCCCCACTCCTCCAAGAGAGAGCAGCATCACTGATGGGACAGGAAGCTATGACTGATCTTAAAACCCAAGCTTAAAGTTACAGAGCACACACAATCCAAACATACAAAAAGCTAACAAAATGTGTACTTTAGGCCATTTCAAGTTAAAGCCAGGGACGCCAAGGGAAAGCTAACAAAGGTTTTTAACGTTTATGATTAAGAACAGTAAAGCAGAAGCTCCTGGAAGCTTAATTAGCATCAAGTTCAAGGATGTTAATCAGAAGTTTCCTAACTGAAAATCAGTAAATAAAATTTTATTTTTTCAATATAAGCCTCAAATTAAATTCAAGATCCATATCATGATTAAAATCTCTTATTTTTCCTCTCCCAGTGAGAAAAAGAGGCTTTGAATAAAGGGTTTTAAAGAATGGCCTTCCAACACTGAACATAAAAGCCAACTCAGTTTTTTAACAGTACTGCTCAAATGCACTGTGCTAACTTTCTCTTTTAGGAATATTCAATATTTACTCCCAGCTTACTTTTTTTAATTTTAATTTTTAGTAATGCATATAATTTTGAATTATACCTAACATTTAGAATCAATGTGGTAATGCAAAGATAACACTAGAATCAAGTAAA